GGATTAGGAGTTACACACATTCACACACACACTGTAACACACTCACACACACACATTCACACACACACATTCACACACACACACACACACTGAGCAGCATCAATCACCCGTCCCACTGCAAGCTGCTAACAGCTCGGTTCACTTAAATCACTCTCTGAAATGCTAAGTGCTAAATTTACCCCTGAGAGCGTGGCAGGAAGTCACCGCGATGCTGACAAACTCTCATCTTTGATGAACGTCTCTGCAGCAGCTGCTCACAGACGCTCGCGGCCTCCTCGTGGAAGCCTCCAGTTATTTATTCACCTGCTGAAGCAGCGGGACAGTGAACGCACCGCTCGCGCCGCTGATGTAAAGCCTGGTCCAGGCGTCAGACTAATCTAGCAGCAGCTCTGCGTTTATGATCCGTCCTGTAAAAACAGGAAGTCCTAACGTTCTCTGGAGGTTTTCTAAAGGACACAAACATCCTCAACCTTCACACAACAGTTGGTACATTTGTGGGCGGGGCTACGGTGGCTGCAGAAAGGAGGTGGAGCTTTCTGTTAAAATGTTACACCTGTAAAACAGCTGGTACACACGACAGAAGTGAAAGAAGTATTCAGAGGCTTCGTGTCTTCATGGTTTAAACATTCGCCGCACAATCAGAGGATTGCACACGTGTGATTGATCACACGTGTGCACGACGGTCTGTAAGGGAGCAGCTGAACACAGCAGCTTCATCCTGTTTGAGCAGGAAGTGCAGCTCGTCTGTTTTCTGCAGCACTTTGAGGATTTGTGAGCGCACAAACATTCTGAGTGTTGCAGAGCGCTGCTTAGCTGGCACGTTGGTGATGATGTAACACCACAGCTGATTGATGCGTCTGCTTTCTGCAACACAAAGCTCAACCGTCACAGGGTCAGACCAGGGTCAGGTCCGGTTCTTCATGTTGGACTACACCGGCTGTGTTTGAATCGCTTCTCACAGATGTGCCAGCAGCAGAATCTGCCTGTGCTGATCTTTTAAGTCTGGATAAAGTAGCAGTAATCCAGGACGCCGAGCCTTCGCCGCGCTGCTGCTGAGCGTCACTCAAACCCTCCGAGTCCTCCGAGCGTCCTTCACGAGGTCGTCTGAGATAATTCCCGCCGTCAGCTCACACCAAAAACAGCCATCGCGCCACAAAACAACAGAAACGACAGAAAGAGCAGACGCAGGTTTCCGTGGCGCTGTCAGAGACGCGCACGCTCACAGCGTCTCTGCTGACGGTGCAGGTGGAGGAGGCGCCCACCGCGTTTCCCACGCACCTCCAGCTTTTACACCATCTGATCACTTTCATGTGCAGCGCTGATCAGAAACACAAAATTCAGAAAACGATTCAGCGTGAGCCACACGGAGGCCCGCGAGGGCCAAACTCACAGATGCTGCAGGGCTGAGTGACAGCTGCACGTTGTGTCCTTCAGGCTGGGAATGAAACGGATTTCATTATTTGATTGAATCATGGCGGCATGCTGAGAATGGCCATCTGCGCGTGTGTGTTGCAGGTCTGCGTGGCTCGCTCTCCAGGTTACAGCTGGACTACGTGGACATTGTTTTCGCCAACAGGACAGACGTGAACGCGCCGATGGAGGGTCAGCGTGCACAAGCCCACGTGCACAAACACACGTGCACAAACACGTGAACAAAGTAGCTCCACATGGAGACAAAATAAAACAGTATTTAAAGTTTTCAGTAACTGAAAGCTACAGCTCATCATGTTTAGTTAATGAAACTTTAACAAAGAGAAACAAACTGTTACATATTAGCAGCAGAGCCTCAGTCTGTGTGCAGCTGCGACTCACTGCTTTCTGTTTGCTGCAGAGATCGTTCGAGCCATGACCTTCGTCATCGAGCAGGGCATGGCCATGTACTGGGGGACGTCCCGCTGGAACGTGGTGGAGATCATGGTAACTCACAGCTGTGAGACCTGCACAGCTTTACTCTGAGCTTTGACATTTATGTCCCTGATACTGTAAAATAAAATAAATAAATATAGACAGAGACGAGCTTCTATCTCACCACAGATCCATTAACGAAACACTCGAGTGTGTCTCACCTGTGTGTCCACCAGGAGGCGTACTCCATTGCGCGGCAGTTTAACCTGATCCCTCCGGTGTGCGAGCAGGCCGAGTATCACTACTTCCAGAGAGACAAAGTGGAGCTGCACCTGCCCGAACTCTACCACAAGATCGGTACACACACACACACACACACACACACTCTCATCAGTGTCTGAGGGTTCTTATAAAGCCGAACACAGAACTGTGATGATCGCACACAGCGCAGTTACAGGACGTGTCTGCTCGGCCTTATAAACCACGTCCTGCATCATCAAAGTAAACCAGGAGCAGAGCTTCAGCAGACTGGAGGAGCTGGACTCAAACCATCAACCCTTTGAGCAGCAGACAGCTGCCTCTAAATCCTGAGACGCCTTTAACGGCTTCCCTGAGGAGTACCAGGGCTACGGGAGATAACAGATACATCACATTCAGTGTCAAAGTTCACGTTCACTCTTTATTTATGAGCACATGAACGTGATTTCCCATATTCACTCTCTGTGAGTACAACGTGAAGGTTTCTCTGCGTCAGCTGATTTCGGAGGTTAAACACACAGTTTGGATGAGTGTAGCTAACAGACTGATGAGCACAGCAGGTCTGAAACACGAGTCAGTGCTGGAGTGCATTCAATATGCATTGCTCTTTATGACCAGCAGGGGGCTCTGTAAACTTGTCCCTGATGTGTTTCTGGTCTCAGTTGCAAGTTCCAGGCCTTACTAAATAAAAAAATCATGTTCAGTTTGGAAATTTGCTCTCATTAGAATCAGGAAGGAGGATTAAAGAGCATGCTCAGTAGATCATGAGGAGACAAGTGAATGATGACAGTGGTATCAAAACATCACCCTGCTGTCAGCTCGAGGCTCATCTGTCTGGCTGCTTTTACCTCGTCCAGCTTCCACTAACTTCCAGCTGTGGTTACATTTATGTGACAGTCAAACCTCAGAGGGGAACCACCCCTGGCCACCTCTTTAGCTGTGATCCTGGTCACTGACCATGAACCTGCTTTAATCTCATCTCTTTGATCTCATCACCAGGTAGAAGGCTGAACTGCGTTAAACACTGTAGTGGGAGCTGTGGGAGCTGTGGGAATGTTTACTGTTGCTCACAGGTCACTTTGACAGAGATGTGTAATCAGTGGTTGTGTGTCTGTGGTTCTGTCAGTAGCCGTCACTGATGAGCTCTCAGGCTGGTGCGATGATGAAATGTTGCTCTGTGTCTTTAACTGGACGCTGAGTCGAGGTCTGTGGGGACAGCAGCTGTTCAGGTCCGCCTCTAAATTTAGACCCGTTTAACAAACGTGCTCCAACATGAGGTCCGTATGTCTGTCAGGTGTCGGAGCCATGACCTGGTCCCCGTTAGCTTGCGGCCTGCTGACGGGCAAATACAACGAGGGCGTACCTGAGAGCTCCAGAGCCGCCATGAAGGTACAAGCAGCACAAACACCATCAATCTGAGCTCGGAGCAGCACAATGAGGCCATCTGTTACCCTGCTGATCAATACTTGTGTGTGTGTGTGTGTGTGCAGGGCTACGCTTGGCTGAAGGAGCGCCTCTGCAGTGATGAGGGGAAGAAGCAGCTCAGCAAAATCAAAGAGCTCCACCTGCTGGCCGACAGGCTGGACTGCACAGCTGCTCAGCTGGCCATTGGTAATCTTGCAGCATCACAAGTGTGTGTGTGTGTGTGTGTGTGTGTGTGTGATATTAACCCCTGATGTCTCTGTGTGTTTGCCAGCCTGGTGTCTCCGCAGTGAAGGCGTCAGCTCGGTGCTGCTCGGCGTCTCCAACACAGAACAGCTGCTGGAGAACCTCGGCTCTGTCAGGGTAACAACATGGCACTGAACCTTCACCTTTGACCTTTAACCCTGAGTCACAGCAGTCTGTACACTTTACAGCTCCTGGCTTCTGAGATCTTCAAGATATATATATAAATTAAAGTGTATATATGTTAAAGATAAAAAATGCTACAATAACAGGAAACAACCAGTCAGAGGTCCAGTCTGAGGCCTGTGATTGGTAGCCACTAACCACTTCCTGTTCTGTCCCTCAGGTGCTGTCTCAGCTGACTCCGCCCCTCATCGCCGAGATGGACGCGTTGCTGGGCAACAAGCCAAGAAATGTGAAGAAGGAGGCGAGAAGATGAAGATGAGGAAGAGTTCAGACTGTAGATAATCAGAAATATTTATTCTTGTATTAATCTTCACATCTTCATTAATACAGTAAAATATTCAGATGGATAAACTGTGAAAACAGTTAAAAACAGAGAAAAATGACGAGAACGTTTGAAGCTGGTATCAAAGGAAACTTTTATTTTGAAGGTAAAACCATTAAAATATAAATATGTTTGTTTGCTAGTTACTAATGTAGGGACTTATGGAAGTTCCTTAATTAAACAATGTTTGTGGGGAGCTGCAGAAATAAAAATCTAGATTTTATGAAACTGTGAAACACATTAAATATGTATAACAATAAAACGTGTATCCGTATAAACAGAAGCACAAACTTTTTTCTAGTTAGGAAATAATAACTTGGTTTTATTTTGTAAACAATCACAAATATCACATGAATGTAGAGTTTTATTTTTATATATTACTATAATTTTTATCATCACATATTAAGCCCCGCTGTGAATTACATCCTTGTGTTTTATGTTATTAGGACATTTATGAAATAAAGGCACAAATAAACTAAATTTAAAATTAGAGTAAAAAACACAATCATGCTTCGAACTTCTCACTCCAGTATAAATATATATAATAAAAGTATTTTTATTTAATCCACAGTTCTTCTTTTAGGCTTTGTTTTTTGGCATACACAGGCTTCCGTATCTCAATAAGCGCTATTTGTATTTCAAAATAAAAGCCTGCTCCTAAGTACTCCGTACTGAAAATATATTTATGAGTATATTTACTGTGAAATTGGAAATGTGTATTTTATGAATGTAGGTGCTCCCTCCTGTGTGTGTTTAGATAGAGAAGACATTTAACTCAGTGGTGCTCAACCTGAGGGGACGGGACCTCTCAGGAGTCAGGACCTCCTCACATCTGGAACATCTTGAAGGAAACGAGTATACTTTCCATCCCAATTAAAGCGAACACAGTAAGATTAATGTGACTCAGTGGAGGTTACAACATCAACACAACACCAACAGGTGAACTTTACCCAGGTACCTGACAGGTGTTTGGACTCAGGTCTCCTGATGGGTGGATGTGAAGCTGTGTGAATCAGGCTGTAAAAATCAGAAACACCACCTGTGCACCGGCTTCAGTGTGGCTGATGTTTGAGTGGAAGTCCCTTTATGTTCCTCAGTGTCCTGGATAAAGATGGAGGTAAATCTGCTGAATCTGGAGGGTGGAGACGGTTTCCTGTGTCACTGAAGGTTCGCCGTCTGATGCTGGGAGTAGAGCTCATGTTGCAGATCCATCAGTGCGTGCTGGCAGGAGGACAGATCAGCTCCATCAGCTGACACAACAAATTCAAGTCAGTTTGAAGCAGACGTTGATGTTTGCTGTCAATCTGAGGTCAGAGGTCAGACTGGGGTTCTAGACAGATCTGAGCATATCAGCTGGGGTGAAAATGATCCAGAGGTGCTCGAGAAGAAGATTTAACCAGGTGTTTATGTCTATGAATCAAACCTGCTTCACATAGGCTTTGTGTGAGATCTTTAACCAGGTCTTCCCATTAACACCTGACCTGTCCAGAGGTTCAGTCAATGAGCTCGTCAATAGCTTCAATGCTAAAATGTTAAATGTAATGGACACTATTTCTCCCATTAAGGTGAAGGTTATCTCTGGAAGGAAGAAGTCTCCATGGAGAAACTCCACACTGGTGAAAAATGAAAAAAGAGAGTGTAGGAAAGCTGAACGCAGATGGAGAAAAACAAACCAGGTTCATTATGACATCTATAAAGAGAAACTTCACAATTATAATTTACAACTGAGGAGTGCAAGGAGGTCCTACTTCTCTGACATCATCACCAAAAACAGTCATAATGCTCGGGTCTTATTTTCTACAGTTGACAGGCTAACAAACCCTCCTGTGTCAGTGGCAGCTGAACTTCATTCGACCATGGCCTGCAATGACTTCGCCAAATTCTTCACAGAAAAAATCCAAAAGATTAGACAAGCAATT